ATCTCGTTTCGATGTTCTGTCCGCACAGGGTTTTTTACCTCCAAATAATTCTTACTTTTATTGTAATATTTGATTGATGTTTTTTTATTTTTCACACCTCGTTTCGGGTTAACGGAGACGATAACCGTTGTCTTGTTTGATAAATTCTAATGCAATACCCGGTTGCACGTGTTGCGCCAGATGATTCGTTACACGTACAAGACGATATAGACGAATTCGTTTCGGACCATGATACAACTCCGGATGATGAAAGTGATGAAGATTCTATATAGACTTATTTGTTTTTATTGTTTTCATATGTATTTGTATTTTGAAAAATCTATCATATTTTTTTTATTTTTTTTAAAAAATTGTAAAATTCCAACGGATATCCGTTGGAATCCAAGCGCAGCAATTGAATCGACACCAGTATTCCAACGGACACCCGTTGAAATATTCCAACGGACACCCGTTGTAATTGTTGAAACATTGAATCCGCTGATAAATTCCAACGGATGCCCGTTACATTATTCATTTCCGACGGGCATCCGTTGGAAAATCTGAAGCATTAAATCCGTTCGACGCACCTGGCGTCCATCGCGTCATTCCAGAATATTTCCAACGGATGCCCGTTGGAAATGAATAATGTAACGGGCATCCGTTGGAATTTATCAGACAACATTAAATGCGCCAGAAAATTCCAACGGATGCCCGTTGGAAATCCGTTGGAAATTTCGATTATATAAGGGCGAGCGCCCATCCTTCTCATCATTCAACACTTTCTCAAAAAAAAAAGACAAAAAAAAAACGACCAAAAAAAAAATCAACAAAAAAAAACACAAAATGGTAATTGATTTTCAATTCTTGTTCAATTCTTTAATATTTATGTTTTGTATTAATAACTAACTATTGTTTTTTTACAGTTTCGTAGGCGATTTTCTGGTTCCGGAGGATTGTTAGCGGGTTCTTCTGGAGCACCGCCACCGCCGCCACCACCACCTTCTCGTCTTCCGGAACCGGTGGACGCTCCTCCACTTTTCCCAGAGTGTGATATAACTCTGGAGGAGGTAGAGGAAATTTTAAATTCCTTCGACGCTCGCGAGGTGCCGCTAATCGATCCCGAACTAGACGGGGCGTTATGGTAATTAATTTATAAATTAAATTATTTCAATATTTTATTTAAATTATATTATTAGTTAATATTAATAAATTGTTATTATAATTAGGTTCGGGGTTAACGATAAAGATTTGAGGAAAAAATTTACAGCAATAATAACGTCAAATTTTCCTCAACTCTACTACTGTTGGACGGTGGTACCGGACAACATCAAACGTTCTTGGTGGCATTCGTTCATCGTAAGTTATATTTTTAAAATTTTATTTAAATAAAATAAATAATCACTAACTCTAATTTTTTTTAAAGCAATCTTTTCGGTGGAAAAAAAAGTACACCGATAAAGTTTACAAAGAGTTCAACCAGCTGGGTATGCAGCGGTTGAAACAAATGATGAACAATGCCAAACGTCGTCATCAGCTGCATGGACTGCCACCGGAATGGGCAACAGATGACTTGTACCAGCAGCTTCTTTCGCATTGGAACTCAGACCATTTCAAGAACAAGAGTTCCAAGGCGAAACAAAATCGTCTGTCCCAAAAAATCGAGGGTGATGGGCCTCATCATCATACCTCCGGTGCTAAATCATTCAAGAAGAGGCAAAAAGAGATGGTATTTACTTAAACTTTAATTTAATTTTTAATTAGTTTTTTAATA